GAAAACCCAATGGAGTACAGTTCTACTCCAACACACACACGGCCATCACAGGTCAGCCATGGAAAACCCGATGGAGTACAGTTCTACTCTGACACACACAGGGTCGTCACAGGTCAGAGGTCTTCTGATGAACTAGTACTGGTTGTTGTTACTGTTATTGGTTGGGTGGTGTGCCGTGGAGTTGGTTCCGACTCATAGCGACCCTGCATAGGGTTTCCAAAGCTGTAAATCTTTACAGGAGCAGAAAGTCTCATCTTTCTCCTGAGGAACAATTGGTAGTTTCAAACTGCCAACCTCAAGGTTAGCAGCCAGACTCATAACCACTTCCGACGCACAGGGACACGTAGAATGAAGTATTCCCCAGTTCTGTGTAACCCTCACCATCATCGACACATGTTAACCAGCTGCTGCAGCCATGGCCAGTCCATCTCTCTGATGGTCTTCTTTCTCTTGCATGCTGATTCTCGACTTTACCAAGCTTCTCCCAGGACTGGTCTTCCAGACAACAAAGCAGTACAAGAGACGTTGTCCAGCCATCCTCCCTTCTAAGGAACATTCCGGGTGTATTTCTTACAGGGCTGAGTTGTTCATTGTTTGGGCAGTCTGCATTACCTTCACCAGTGTCTGCCAACCCCATAACTCAAAGGCATCAATTCTTCAGGCTTTCTTATTCACTGTCTGGCTTTTGCAAATATGTGAGATGATTGAAAAGACCATGGCTTGGGTCAGGCACACCTAGCCCTCAAGTTGGGATCTTTGGTCTTAGACACTTTAAAGACGTCTTGTACAGCAGATTGGTCCTATGCACAACATGGCTTGATTTCTTGACAGCTGCTTCCATGGGTATTGATTATGGATCCAAATAAAATGAAATCCTTGACAACATCAATCTTTTCTCTATTTATCATGACATAATTCATTGGCTCAGTGGTGAAGACTTTTGTTTTCTGTTCATTGAGGTGTGATTCATACTAAAGGCTGTATTTTTTTTACCTTCATCAGTAAGTTTCAAGTCTCCTCTTCATTTTCTACAAGCAAGGTTGTGTCATCTGCATATCCAATCCGGATGCACGTTCTCCTCAGTTTATTTTCTCAGCATGCAGATTGAATAAGCACAGTGAATGGATACGGCTCTGGCTCACACCTTTCCTGGTTTTAATCCATTCGGTACTCCTCTGTTCCACTCAAATGTACAGGTTCCTCATGATCACATGGAATTCCTATTTTTTGCAATGTTGTCCATAATTTGTCATGACCCACAAAATCAAATACTTTTGCATGAAAAAGAACACAGTCAAACATCTTTCTGATATTCTCTGCTTTCAACCAAGATTCACCTGAAATCAGTAACGATATCCTTCATTCCACATCCTCTTATGAAACTGGCTTGAGTTTCTGGAAGCCCCCTGTTGCTATGCTGCTGGAACTGGTAGGGGGTGACAGCATTTGTTGAAAAAAGTGAAGTGTAAACAGACGGCTACCAAGTTTTAGACACATTTAAAAATCAGAAGCGGGAGGGTGCTATAAGTGGCTTCTGGAATCAGGTAGTTCTTATTTTCTACGTAAGGGAACTGAGAGCTCTGGGGGAGGGGAGGGGCTCCTGGTCCCACCATGGAGACCAGCGCTCCGCATCTGACCATCATGGCTGCAGGTGCTTCTGCAAAGCTCCGATGTGCTCTTGCTCTTGAAGAGTCCAGCCAGGAGCCACCCATGAGGACCCCTGCTTCACTGCCACCTCCACTGGGTTCTTCTAGACAGACAGAAGAGGAGAAAGGGACCCAGAAGACGATGCCAACGTCCTCTGTGGTTCTTGCTGTCAGGGCTGTGCCGGCTCCATTGTGTGTGTGCCTTGTTGTCTTTCAGTCTGCAAGAGCGATATGGTCTTGTCCCACTGCTTTTCTGCCTAATGCACCATGTGCACCCCAGGAAAGGAAAGGGAGGTGGGGTCGGTGCAGATGGCTCGGATTTCCCTGGTCACAATCTCGGTCACCGTGACTGACCCTAGGAGCTAGACCTCCCAGGCAGACGAGAGGCCCTGAGCAGAAAGAGCCAGGGTCTGGGGTCCCTGGGCAGCACTGGAGTCAAGCCCAGACACCTGTGTGCAGAACCAGATCCCAAGGCAGCTTTGAATTGGGTCACTTCAGACCTCCAAATCGCTGTAGAAGGTTGGGGGAGTGGGGGTGTCCTGCAGAATCTAGAGTTCAAGGTTCCCACTGGGTAACTGGATCCAGGACCCATGCACCTAGACCCAGACTCAGGACCCTGTGCACACTGATGATCCCAGATCCCATCTGTCTGGACCCAGGACCCCAGATCACCCTGGCCCTCTGTGCCCAGACCCAGGACCCTGTGCACACTGATGATCCCAGATCCCACCTGTCTGGACCCAGGACCCCAGATCACCCCGGCCCTCTGTGCCCAGACCCAGGACCCTGTGCACACTGATGATCCCAGATCCCATCTGTCTGGACCCAGGACCCCAGATCACCCTGGCCCTCTGTGCCCAGACCCAGAACCCTGTGCTTTTAGAACCTGTAGAATCAGCGCACTGCCTTTCTCTCCAGCACCCCAGGACAGGGGGCTCCTCTGTTTCGTCATGGTTCTGGCCACAGAGTTGACCTTCACCCTGTGTCCTAGGGAGGGTAGACTCCTGTCTATAGACACATGGGCTCTGGGGTCAGTGGGTAGTCACTGGCTGAATCTAACTGGGCTGGGCATCAAAATGATGCCCATCTCACCTCATGGACAAAGACTACACACCCTGTGGTTAGCGTGGACTTGCATGCACCCCTGCATCAGAAGGGGTGCCCCTGTTGCAGACCATGTAAGACTGGTCAGAGGTTCGAGGCCCTAGAGGCCCGAGTGTAACAGATCTAGCCACTTGGCAGTCAATAGCAAATTGTTTTTCATCTTAATATCTGGTTATGTTTTATTAAATGCAGACATGAGCCCTTGATAATCCACAGATAAATCCTAAAGCCCAGACTAAAAGTTGCAAAGTCAAGCCTTCCTCCAAAGGATTAACTAAAAACATTTTAGCTACTTCACAGTTCTTTGTTCTACAGACAAAAAAGCCATCCTCCCTGACTCTCTCCCAAGTGTTAGCTATTCAGCCAAGTTCCTGAAAACCTGGCTTAGGAAGCCAAAACAGCGGGACTCCACCCAAGCTTTTGTCCTTACCTCTCACCTTCCCCCAACTGAGCTCAGGGGCTATAGATATGTTAATTGGGCCTGAGAAACCAAGTTGCGGGCCTGGGATTCAAACCAGCGAAGTACAATGTAAAGTTACCTGAATGTCTGGAAAAGTACTGATGTTAGCTGTACCTTGCCTAAGTCCCTCCCAGCTTGGTGTGAAGCTCCTCCCCTAAATAAAACAGAGGCCTGGGCCTCCCCAGGTGTGCATTACGGGTTGGAAGGCATGTAGTAAAGATTGCAGTGCATTATAGGTTGGAGGGCATGCAGTAAAGATTGCAGGGCAGTGAGTTGCTGCCTGCAGAGGCCACAATGCCTGTAGTCCCAAGTCTGCCCACCAGTGATGCATCCACCCTGGCTTTGGGGTGCCTCATTGTCCCCCTCTTTCTGTCTGTCTGTGTATATATTTACCGCCACCAGGTATCTCCTCCTCGTGAACCGAACCCCTATGTCGAGGCCAGTCCCCGGCATGCCCCCACCAGAACCATGCTGCCCGGAGATGCTGACCACTGGCAGGACTGACTTGGGCCTATTGGGGAGACCCCAGAGGCCTCTGGGTAAGCACTGAGAGGTCACAGGGATGACAAGACAACAAATGCATCTACTTGCCCCTCACCTTCTCCTCCAGCTCTTTCAGATGCCTCTTCTGCATCTCCAGCTTGTCCTCCAGCTCCCGGACCCTCTGCAACACATGGGCAGGTGTCAGGGACAGTCACTCCTCGCTGCATGCCCAGTACCAGGGGACTGACAGTGATCCATAGTCCTGGGCAGTGGGACCCCCCAGCCCACTTCCTGCCACTTGGCAGTGTGCCCACATACAGTCTCACTATAGTCACCCCACCTTCCTGGAGCTGCCCACCACCAGACTCCCCAACTGCCATCCCCTCTGTCCTCGACCTCCAGTCTCAACCTGCTCACTGCCTCACCCACAACTCAGACATAGCCACTAATTGTCGAGAGAGATAGGAACCTCTCCCACCACCTACACAGTGGTGTGTGTGCATGCACTTCGTGTATGAGTATTTGATCATGTGAGCATGTTTCTACACATGTGTATGATACCTGTATTGTTTTGTGTACATTTTGTGTGTTTGTATGCATGCACGTGTGTGTCTGTGTGTGTGTGTACAGTTGTCCGTGTGTGTGGTTATGTGTGTGTGAGAAAGAGACACTGAGTGGGAGACACCCTCCTTCCACTCCTTTGATCCCTCCTGAAACGTTCTCTCCTCCTTTTCTGCCTGGTAACACCGTAGTGTTGGTCTCTTGTGCTTCTCCACCTGAGAGGTGAGTGATATCCCATCAGGACAAATGTCGAAGCACCCTCCATGGAAAAGTCCCGAAGCCAATTCCCCGATCAGCAGCTCTCAGAGGGCCACTGGGCACGTGTCCTGGTGTCTAGGTAATTCCAGAGACAGCCATCAATGGGGGACATCACAGACATGGCAGAGCCACCAATAGTCCAGCCAGGTTCCCTGGTATGGCATCAGCCTGGGAAGCCAGTGTGGTGTGGAAGGCAGACAACGGCTGGTACTGCCATTTATGGGGTTGGGGCCCTCATGATTGATTATAGAAAAGGTTTGCTTTGTATTACACCCCAGGATCCCTGTTCTCCTCCATTCCCCCCACACACACACTCCACCGAGACTGCTGGGGGCAGTCGCACACACACGGGGGAGGGAAGACAGAAGATGTGATTCAGTTCCCACACCATCACCTGCTGGGTCCCCCGGTGTCTGCCCACAGCATCCAAGCACACATGGGGAGTGAAAGGGAGGATGGGGTGGGCTTAGGTGTAGGTGTACACCCCCCAGTCACCTGCTGGGCTCTCTGCAGCTGCTCCATGCGTTCCCGCAGCACCTGGCTGTCACACTCACGGCTCTGCCTCAGGATCTGCCGACGCACCTTCTCCACAGCATCCCGCAGGTCCTCACGTTGACCTTCGCTCAGTGTCCCCCCACCCACCCTGCAGTCTGGCTCCTGTTGAAGTGCATCGTACAGCGTGGCCTCCAGCTCCTGGATCTTCTGAGTGAATGGAAGCACAGACAAAAGACAGTGACCATCGGGATGGGTTGCCACAAGAGCATGGTTAATATAAACCCGGATGTGTGCTCGTGTATCCATGTGAACTAATGTGCATGCATGTGTGTGTCTCCATGTGAAGCTATGTGTGTGCACATGAACCAATGTGAGCTGCTGTGTGCATGTGTGTGTCCACGTGAACCCATGTGTATGCATGTGTGTGCTCTTGTGAGTCTATGGGTGTGCACGTGTGTTTCCATGTGAACCCATGTGCATACATGTGTGTACCCTTGTGAGTCTAAGTGTGTGCATGTGTGTGTGTGTTTAAGTGGACCCATGTGCATGCATGTGTGCACCCTTGTGAGTCAATGTGTGTGCACCCTTGTGAGTCAATGTGTGTGCACATATGTCCACATGAACCCATGTGCATGCATATGTGTGCCCTTATGAGTCTATATGTGTGCACATGGACCCATGTGCATGCATGTATGTACCCTTGTGAATCTGTGTATGTCCATGTGTGTGCCCTTGTGAGTTTATTGTGTGTCAACGTGAACCCATGTGTATGCATGTGCATGCCTTTGTGAATCTATGCTTGCACATGTGTGTCCATGTGGATCCATGTGCACACATGTATGCCCTTGTGAGTATATTGTGTGCATGTGTGTGTCCATGTGAACCTATGTGTATGCCTTTGTGAACATGTCTGCACATGTGCTCATGTGAACTAGAGTGCATGCAATTTCATGCCCTTGTGAGCCTGTGTTTGTATATGTGTGTATCCATGTGAACCCATGCATGTGTGTGCCTTTGTGAATCTGTGTCTGCTCATGTGTCCATGTGAATACATGTGCATGCATGTGTGTGCCCTTGCAGGCCTGTGTATGAGTACACATGAGTCTTTGTTGCTCATGGCTTACATTTACTTCAGTCACTAGCAATACGGGTAGAGTCATGGCCCCCATATACATACTGAAGTCCTAACCTCCAGGCCTGTGAGCAATCCTCTTTAGAAATGGGACTTCCATTTGCTATGTGGATGAGGTCACACCAGGTTAGGGTGATCCTTCTAAGTGGTGTCTTGTAAAAGGACAGACTAGACACACACAGTGTGGTGGGGGCGGGGGGCAGGTGCCTGTTAGCCCCATGTATGAGTCCTCCAATGCTGCAGTAATGGAAGTATCACGAGAAGGGCTTTAATAAGTAGAACTTCATTTTCTCACAGTTCAGGAGGCGAGTGGTCCACATTCATGGCACCCTCTCTCTGTCTGCTCTGGGGAAGGCCCTTGTCTCTTTCCGCCTCTCTTCCCTTGATGCCCCTGAAGATCTTCCCATGGTGGGGCATCTATTTCCCCCTTCTCTGCTTTCTCCATGCCTGCTTCACCTGCATGAGATCTTTTAGATCTCAAAAGAGATGATTTCAAACACACCCGACCCTAATACTGATGTCCTGGTGTGGTGCCATAGGATAAGCACTGGACTGCTAACCATGAGGTCAGTGGTTCGAACCCATCAGTCACTCCTTGGAAACCCTATGTGGCACTGTGGGTATGACGCTGGACTGCAAAGTTGGTTTGAACCAGAAGGTCGGCAGTTCAAGTTCACCAGCTGCTTTTCAGAAACCGTATACCAGATCACTATGACTCGGAACTGACTCGGTGGCACTTAACAACAACAAAATGAGTCATAAATGATTCAATGGCACTTAACTACAGAAACAACACACTAATACTGTCTCATTAATATAAAAGAAGGAATCCTGGCATGGGACTCTACAATAAGCACTGAACCACTAAGTTGGTTTGAATGGCTGCTCCTCGGAAACCCCAACCAGGGTTGCTATGAGTCAGAACCGACCTGAGGGCACTAATCAACAATCAAATACAAAAGCAAACCCTGCACTCCTAAATGTGATTATAACCATAGAAATTTCAGCACTGATTTTCAGGGACAGAATTCAATCCATGGGAGTTTGGTGGTTCCACAGGACAAGCACTGGTCCACGGTTCAAGTCCTCTGCAGGAGGAAGATGGGGCTTTCTGCTCCCTTGAAGATTGAAAGCCTCAGAAACCATATACAGAGCCACTATGAGTCGGAAATGACAAGATGGCACTTGATGACAACTATTTCCATCCATAATACCAATAAGTCAAGGAATCCTAGAGCTAATTAAACAGAGGAGGAGAGATCACCTGCTGGGGTTGGTGCTCTGACTCAGACTTGGAGCCAAGGAATCCTGGGGCTAATTCCAGAAGCCTGCGGCAATAAATGGCTGTCCTTTAAAGTCACCCTCATGTGGCATTTTTGGTACAACAGCCCATAGACGATGAGCCATCCCGTGAGGAAAGGAATATGAACCTGAGACTTTGGCAAAGAGCTCATCACATCCCTGTCAAAGGAAATGCTGCCTGTCCTTCAGCAGAGTACAGCCAAGAATCCTCCAGTGGAGACCTCAACCAGAGTTCTCCATAGAGTCTCCTACAGCCTCGAGAAGTCCTATAGTAGAAACTTCAACCAGAGTTCTTCATTAGTTTCCTACAGAACTAGGAAATCCCTCAGTGAAAACTTCAACCAGAAGTCTCCAATACAGTCTACTGCAGCCTCCCTCTCTATCTTGGATTTAAGTTCCTGTAATTGTTCCTAATTGAAGCAACTGAATGATGCAAGAAGCATCAAAAGAAGATGGAAGGAATACACAGAGTCACTGTACCAAAAAAAATTGTTTGATATTTAATCATTTTAATAGGTAACATATGTTCTAGAATCAATAATACTGAATGAAGAAATTTAAGATGCATTGAAGGTAGTGGCCAAAAAACAAGGCTTAAGAAAGTGAAAGAATATAAATAGAAATCTTTCAACAAACTGATGCAGCACTGGAGGTCCTCACTCATCTATACCAATATATGTAGAAGACAGCTATCCAGACAATTGATTGGAAGATATCTGTATTTGTGCCCATTCTGTAGAAAGGTGGTTTAAAGGAATGCAGAAATCATCAATCAATATCATTAATATCACATGCAAGTAAAATGTTTTGAAAGATAATTCAACAATGGTTTCAACAATACGTCAATAGGGAGCTGACAGAAATTCAAGCCAGATTCAAAAGAGGATGTGGAAATGGGGGTATCATTGCTGACATCAGATGGATCTTGGCTGAAAGCAGCGAATACCAGAAAGATGTTTACTTGTGCTTTATTGACTATACAAAGGAATTTGAGTGTGTAGATCACAATAAACTAGGGACAACACTGCAGAGAATGAGTATTCCAGAACACTTAATTATGCTCATGAGGAACTTGTACCTAGACCAAGAGGCATTTGTTTGAATGGAATAAAAGGATACTAAAAAATTTAAAATCAGGAAAGGTGTGTGCCAAGGTTGTATCTGTTCACCATACTTGTTTAATCTGTAGGATGAGCAAATAATCAAAGAAGATGGATTATATGAAGAAAAATGTAGCATCAATATTGGAGGAAGACTCATTAACAACCAGCAAGATGCAGATAATACAACCTTGCTTGCTGAAAGTGAAGAGGACTTGAAATGCTGGTGGAGATCAAAGAGCACAGCCTTCAGTACGAACTTCAGTTCAATATAAAGAAAATGAAAATCCTCATAAATGAGCCAATAAATAACAGTGTGATAAACAGAGGAAAGATTGAAGTTGTCAAAGATTTTATTTTGCTAGGATCCACAACCAATGCACATGGAAGTGGCAGTCAAGAAATCAAAGGACGTATTGTTATTGCATTAGGCAAATCTGCAAAAGACTGCTTTCAAATGTTAAAGAGCAAAGATGTCAGTTTGAGGATTAAACTGTGCCTGACCATGGTCATTTCAATTGCCTCAGATATATGTGAAAAGAGGGACATTGAATAAGGAAGACGGTAGCAGAATTGATGTATTTGAGTGATGGTGTTGGAGAATATTAAATGTACCATGGACTTCTAGAAGAACTAACAAATCTATGTTGGAAGAAGAGCCAGAGTGTTCCTTGGAAGCCAGGATGGTGAGACTCCATCTCTCATACTTTGGACATACTGTCAGTAGGGACCAGTTCCTGAAGAAGGACATTATACTTGGAAAAGTGGAGGGCTGGAGAAAAAGAGGAAGACCCCCACCCAACAAGATGGATTGACACAGTGGCAGCAGCAATGAGCTCAAATGCAGCAACAATTATGAGGTTGATACAGGACTGGGTAGGGTTTCATTCTGTTGTGAATAGGGTAGAGTACGCAGGATGGACTCAATGGCACCTAACAACAACACAGTTGTTCCTAACTTGTGTCATTGGAACTTTCTAGAAAAGCCAGGGGCAGGCTCAACAGAAACAGCAGGTTCTGCATGGGAATAGGGTGTTTGTAAAAACGTCAAGGCAGTATAGAATCAAGGACAACCCAAGGTGGATGTGGAGGTGGATGCTGTGTTTTCATTTCTAACTGCCTTTCACATGTCATTGCACGGGGTCTCCAGGGAGCCGTGTTTGCTGAGCTGTCATTCATGCTGATGGATGTCTCTTCAGCTCCTGCCTCTGGAGTCCAGCCCAGAGCCTTGACGTCAGGGGTCAGAGGTCACAGGAAGACAAAACAGTCTTCATGTCTAGAAGCTTCCATGTGTGCTGAGCCCAGGTTATCTGCTTGGGTCTTTCAAAGACACTCATGGAAGCTGGTGTTTGGACATCATTTCATAGTTAGTGACTGTATTTCTTAGGTACAACCCATTTTATAAAAGACTTTTAACAACAAATGACTTGGACAAAGACTTGAATGTTCATGACACTGTTGGCCACAGAACTTTTGGCCCTCTCTCTATAGGGACATCTTTGAAATGTTGCCCCTTTCATCCCTCAGCACTGACCCATGGGAGGGTCTAGGAGAGGGTGCTCTCAGCTCTCAGAGCAGAAAAAAAGTATCATGATTCCACTTTACTCAGGTGACCGTGATGGGCAAGTTCTAATCCTGATACCTGGGAATGTGATCTTGTTTGTAAATGGGGTTTTTGAAGATGTTATCATTTAGGTTAACATGGGGCCATGGTGGAGTAGGGTGGGTCCTAATCCAGTCTGACTGATACCCTTACAAAGGAGGAACAGGAAGATGGCCACGTGAAGTGGAAAGCAGAGATTGGAGTGATGTGGCCACAAACCCAGGAAAACCTGGGGTCACAGAAGTCAGGCCACAAGGAAGGGTCCTCCCCTAGAGCCTGAGAGAGAACATAACCCTGCTGACCCGGGGAGTTTGGACCATAGAGGAGATCTAGTGGCACAGTGACTAAATGCTTATTATAGTGAACTATTTTGTCTCTTCTAGCCTCATTCTAACTCCCACCAAACGACTCTTTTCCTGCTGGATCTGAGTAAGGGAAGGTGGGAGAAGATACTGACAGGACGATGTGATTCAGGTGTGGATGTTAACAGAATTCATCGTGATTGTAAAAACTTGAAACTCTTGTGTTGTTGGGTCTAAAGCAAATCATCTTAGAAGCAGGATAAGGGGAATCACATTATCATCAAAGAAGAGCCAGGAGTGAAGCCCATCCTTTGGACCCCAAGATCCCTGCACATTGAACCTTTTCAACTAGGGACAGAAAGCTGTGACCCCAGAGGAGTGTCAGCGAAGCAGCAGTAGCATCAGAGCCATCAGTCAGTGTACGAGGCAAAGCAGTGGACTTCCCAGCTACAGAGTTAGCAGAGCTGAGAGATTGGGGGCAGGAAGCTTGCTTTCCGAGTGGGGTGCCTCCAGGCACTTATTTGGGGGAGCAAGGTTTGCCTTCAGAGCTAGAACTGAGTGCCTTCAGACTAAGGTTTATGGTGGAATGGTGTGTCCTGTGAGCAGCCCTAATAGACCTTTGTAACATTGGCCAGACAGACACAGAGACTTGCCTATGGACACAGCTGAGGAGACTGGAACTGTGCCCAAAGCATTTCTGACCCTGACTTATAACTGTCAACTCCCCTATTACACCCCGTAATGATGAGCATGGTGGTTGAGTTTTATGTGGCCATTACAGTGGATTTTCTAACCCTGCTGAGGAGCAGTGAGGGCGGTGGTTTGGTGCCACGACATTTGTGCATCCAGTCACTGCTCAGGAGAAAGATGGGGCAGTATACTTCTGGAAAGATTTACAGTCTAGACAATCCCACGGGGCAGTTCTACTGTGTCCTACAGGGTCCCGGTGAGTTAGAGTCAACTCAACATTCGGGGGTGGGGGAAGACAGTAAGCCCCAACTTTGTGACAGCATTCCCAGGTGACTGATACAAATAGCAAGCCCTGAACCAGTGTGGCCCCCACACAGTGATTGTGCAGGACCGTACAGGAACTGTGTGCTCAGAGCGCCACCAGCCTCACCCATGTAGTCCTTGGATCCATCTTGCTCTCCTGTTTATAGGAAAGCCCACTCTGTGATCCTAAGTTTAAATAAATATCCATATATGAATAAACATAAAAAAGACAGCCCCTGGTCATCTGAACAAACACCGGTATGTCCACATGAACTCTGGATAGTTCTCTTAAGTCATAGATGTGGAAAATCTGACCCTGCCCTAGCCTGCAGATGTGGTTTCCCTAAGGGAGAGGAGCCCACGCTCCATCTTACCAGGTGAGCCTGGTCCAGGGCCTCCTTCCTGTAGTCCAGCTCCTCCTCTAGGTAGCCCTTCTGTCGGCTGAACAGGTCCTGGAAAGGGGGAGGGGCTGTGACAACATAGCCTTCAGGGTCAGTACACCCACCCTCCACCCCCACCCCGTCCAGAGTGTGACCATCACCTGGGGTGAACAGGGACCTAGTGGCCTCCCACCGCTCTCCACCTAACTGAGGGAACTCTTCATGACACACCTGGCTGCCCTCAAGACCTGGTTGTCATGGGGGCCTGGCTGTGAGCCTGACCAAAAGCTACCCATGCCCAAGCATGAACCACAGTGCCCTCTGCACTCTTCCCTCTCAGGTCACCTCCTGGAACACCCAGCATTACATCCTTACACATCCCTAGTTCAACTCCAGGCATGCCCCACGTCACCTTCTGACACCCCCCACGTCACCTCCTGACACGTCCCATGTCACCTCCTGACACATCCCACGTCACCTCCTGACACGTCCCCACGTCACCTCCTGAAATGCCCAACATTACATCCTTACACGTCCCCAAGTCACCTCCTGACACATCCCATGTCATCTCCTGACACATCCCCATGTCACCTCCTGACACCCCCATGTCACCTCCTGACACGCCCCATGTCACCTCCTGACACATCCCATGTCACCTCCTGACACGTCCCCACATCACCTCCTGAAACGCCCAATATTACATCCTTACACGTCCCCAAGTCACCTCCTGACACCCCCACGTCACCTCCTGACACATCCCATGTCACCTCCTGACACGTCCCCATGTCACCTCCTGACACGTCCCCATGTCACCTCCTGACACCCCCACATCACCTCCTGACATGTCCCACATCACCTCCTGACACATCCCCACGTCGCCTCCTGACACGTCCCACGTCACCTCCTGACATGTCCCCACGTCACTTCCTGACACGTCCCCACGTTACCTCCTGACATACCCTGTCACGTCATGACATGCCCCACATCACCTCCTGACATGTCCCCATGTCACCTCCTGACACCCCACGTCACCTCCTGACACATTCACTCAGGTCTTCGGTCACTCCCACACACACACATCCAGTGGTCCTGTAAGCACAATCATTCTGAAAGTGGATCTCCTTCATTGAATAAAGAGACAGAGGGCCAGAGAAGACTGATTCTTGCCTTACTGGAACTTGGTGATTGGAGGTGGGACTAGGAAGCCCAGGCCCATCTCTCATGCTACTGGACTGGACAAGGGTCCTCCTGCCCAGGAACTTGTCCTCCTTTTCCCCTCTTCTACCAGGAGCCTCATACTGGACCAGGATGGCACTAGAACCTTCTCTCCTGGTGCCTTCCCCACCACCCCCACCAGGCAAGTGCCTCTGTCCACTGTCAGCACCACGGAGTGCCCAGCACATGCCCAGTGGCTTCTAATCCAGCATCGCCCTCCCTTGGACTCACACCTGGTTCATGGACGGGATACAAGGTCATGTCTTCCCTGTCGTTCTCCTGATCAAAAGGGGACAGTAAGCTTGAGCCTATCTGAGCGCACTGACCCAGTGCCTCCTATCACGGTCACAGCTCCCCTACCCTCTCACACACCAGGGTCCATGGCAGGGACCTCGCCCACTTGTTCCTGAAGCTTGTCCCTACAGAGTCCTGAGAGAAGCAGAGACTCAGGATGCACACCAGTGACCACGGAGTGACTGAGAGAGTGGCAAGCAGGAAAAGGCACTCGGAGCAGCCAGGGGCAGAGGCCCATGCAAATAGGCTATGAAGTCACACAGAGCCCTCCCAAGCCCGCTCTACCTTCTCCTTCTCCAGATCCATCATCTTCTGGGTCAGGGCGGCCTCGGTGCCTTCAATCTGCTTCAGCCACTGGAACACATCAGGGAGGGCACAGTGGGTGAGGGTCGTGTCTGGACCCCCTTGTGAAGGAGGGCAGCAGGTGAGCTATGGCACACACACAGGTGTGTACACAGGTGAGTGGTGTGGTCACATGGTCCAGGTGTAAGGGAGGGAGGCAGGACAAGGTGGGGGGCATGGGTTCAGTGCACAGTGAATATAGGGCATGGGTGTGAGCATGTGCTGGCCGCTGCCTTCCTACCGCCCAGGCCCACAGTGTGACAAGGGCATGGTCACACCACTGGGAGTGAGAGTTTTAGCCCAAACCCCACCACTGTCCCAGGCCAATCTGGGGTGCTTTAGCTGTCAGCACACATGAGGCACAGGTCAATGGGAGAGAGCCACAAAGCACCTGATAGGTGTGCAAGAGACATACAAGGTGAGTATGCAAGAACCCCAGGGTGAACTTGAGGACACAGAGAGCACACGGTGTGGAATGGACACCTGTGGGGACAGGTACAGGTGGGGCACATGCTGGTACAGATGAGGTGCACACCCATGGGAACTGGTACAAGTGGGGTGCACCCCTGCAGGGGCTGGTACAAGTGGGGCATACACCTGTCACCTGTGAGGACAGGCAAAGGTAGGGTACACACCCACAGGGGCTGGTAAAGATGGGGGGCCAAGTCTGAGAAGAGCACACACTTGTGAGAGGCATGTAAATGTGGGTGCACACCTGTGAGGGCAGGTCTAGGCAAGGTGTATACCTGTAAGACCAGGCAAAGGTGGGGCACATGCCTGCAGGGACTAGTATAGGTTGGGTACACACTTATGAGGACTGGTATAGGTGGGGCACACACTGAGGACAGATACAGGGTGGATGCACATCTGCAGGGGCTAGTACAGGCGGGACAGCAAGTCTGAGCAGAGCACACACCTGTGAGGGCAGGTCTAGGCAGACCAGATATGGGTGGGGCACACCTCTAGGTTTCTGCCTTTGTTCTCAGTCTGTGCTGGGGTGAGTGTACAGTGGCGGGCATGTTTCTGAGGGGCAGGTGTGTGGGTGTGTCTTTATGAGGAATACACCTCTAAAGGGCGAGTAGCTCCGTGGGGTGGCTGTGTCGGCAGGTTCGGAACATGTCAGACCGAGTGACTGACCTTGTTGCTAAATCCAGACACTTCTCACCTGTAAACCTTGACCTCACCCAGGATGGACCTCACCCAGCATGGACCTTACCCAGGATGGACTTCACCCAGGATGGACCTCGCCCAGGATGGACCTTACCCAGGATGGACTTGCTGACCTGTCCTTTCTGTATGCCTGCTTTCCTGAGCTCCCGGACTCCTCTTGCATCCCTCCTCGATACCCTCTCTACTCCTCACCTGAACCACCTCCCTGTAGCCAGACCCTCTCCTGAGCACCCCTCCATGTACCCACAACTCTGTCTTCACTCCACATCCCTCTGCCCTCTCAGAATCACGCATCCATTCCTGCTCAACACCTGTGAGGACACCCGCAGCCTCTGCACTCTCCCCTCCCTCAAACCAGCCAGTCCTCTGACCAGCACATCATCCTCAAACAGGTTCAAATCCCTGCACCTCAGGGCATTGGGCACGATGACCGTCAAGAAGCTTCCAGTCACTACCTACTCAGCCCACAGCCCCCAAGTCAGCTGACACCTCCTGCAGGAAGCCGGCCCTGCTTGCGGCACCCACGAGTCAGATGTCTTCATCACCTGCGGTCACTGTGTTGCACACTCACTGACCTACTGCCATCCCTCATCTCCCAGCCAGGCCCCAGCATTAGATCATAGCAGGTATGATGGGGCTTTGGGATGCAGAGTGTGGAGGGCTTGGGGTTGGTTCAGGCAGAGCTTCCCCATCACAGGAGCTCTCTCATGTTAAAGCAGCTTGGCCCAGAGAGTGAGTCGAACCCTCAGCTAAATCTTGCTAAGAAAGGATGTCTGGTTTCTGAGGAAGAAGCAGGCATGTTTTTTATGTTGTTGTTGTTAAGTGCCGTCAAGTTGTTTCCAACACATAGCGACCCTGTACAGGGTTTCCAAGGAGTGACTGATGAGGTTGAACCACCGACTTTGTGGTTCAAAAGGCTTTACAGTCCAGCACATTAACCCACAGTGCCACACCAGGACTGTGTATGGGAATATTTCATTTTTAATGTCACAAGATGAATAAAAATTAAAATGGAAAAGAAACCCCATTTGGATCATTAAATCCAACTGCTTTTTAGGACAGGTTTGTACAGCACAATGTTGGGTTTTCTGTTAAAAAGGAAAAGAAAAAAAGATTTTACCTAAACAGAAGCCTGACAAGTACTTCCAGTGGTCAGAGAGGAAGTGAGGGCAGGGCAGGTCATGAGGCACAAAACCCACTGACTTCTGTGAGTCAATTCCAACTCAAAGCAACCCTATAGACAGAGTAGAACTGCCCCATAGGGTTCCAAGACCCTGTACCACCCCCTAGGGAGACTTCACCGTCCAGTTGG